TTGATTTTTTACTGATCTTTTTTATACATTTATTAATGTTGGACTGTATAGCTGTAGTTTGTTTTAGTTGGTGCATAATGCTTTATTGTATTATGTATAATTTATTGTGTAAGATACATACTATCTTTTTTATGTATCCCTTAGTGACGGGCACTCCTCCTCCCCTACCCCCCCCCCCATTTAAAAACAGTCCCGTAGTGAGTATTATAAATGTCTTCTTGTGCAGGTGTGTAAGTGTTTAGGATACATATCCAGAAGTAGAGTTGGAGCATAAAATACACCTTTCCAGCTTTACTAACTATTGCAACATTATTCTCACACCAGCAGAGTGTTGGAGTTTCCATTTTCCTTATTCTTTGGATGCTTGTTACTATCTGATGGGTGTGAAAATAGTATCTTAACTGTTTCTTTTATTTTAGTGTTGTTTTTTCTTTTTATATCTCCGAGAGAGAGACAGCGTGAGCAGGGGAGGGTCAGAGAAAGGGAGATACAGAATCTGAAGCAGGCTTCAGGCTTTGAGCTAGATGTCAGCACAGAGCCCGACGCGGGGCTCGAACCCACGAACCATGAGATCATGACCTGAGCTGAAGTTGGACACAACCCACTGAGCCACCCAGGTGCCCCATATCTTACTGTTTCATCTTGCGTTTCCTTGGCAGCTATTGAGGTTTATCTCCGTTTGTTAAGTGATCTTTCAGTTTGCATTATGTGTGAATGTCCTTTTCATAGCCTCTACCAATTTCTCCCGGGGATCATTTTGTCTTTCTAATTCAATTCTAGAATTTTTTAATATGCTTAGAATGCTAACCCTTTGTTTTATTCTGAAAATCTCCTAATCTTTGTCTTTATAGTATCTTTTTAATATAAAACTATAATGTCCAGTACAGCCATCACTAATATAAATAAAATATAATTTCAGTTTAGTTAAAATTAAATGAGATTATACATTCAGTTCATCAGTAACCTCATGGGACTAGTAGTGGCTGTTGTATTGGACTGTGATGACATAAGATGCTTCCATTATTGTAGGACTGTTGCTTTGTCCCTGAAAGTTTCGAACTTTATCATAATATTTCATTATGGATTGTGATTGTTTTTCATCTTTCATCAGAAATCGTTCAGCAGTGTAATGTCCCAGAGGACATTTTTTTTTTTAAAAGGTTTTAAGTAATCTCTACACCCAATGTGGGGCTCAAACTGGTGACCCTAAGATCAAGAGTCACATCCTCTTCTGACTGACCCAGCCAGGTCTTCTTTTAAACATTTTGTTTTTCTTAATAGGTCTTAGAATCCATCTAGAATTTAATGATATGAATGGTGTTGATGTGAGGTCAAGATCTGACTTTATTTTCTTCTGTATGGATTTTTGTTCTAGCTTTACTCTTTTGATAGCTTATCTGTTCCCCCCGAGATGTAATGCCTTTTCTGTCATTTGCCAAGTTTTTAGAGTCTGTGTGGCTTTTCCTGGTGGGTGTTTCCCCCTAGTGTTTTCATTTTTTCCCTCTCCTTTTCTTCCATATCCTTTCTTAACCCTTTGTTCTTTCATTTTGAATTTGGCATCAAGTTTTGACAAGATTTCCTAAAAAATAAACTTGTTGGGAAGTTTTAAAAAATTGCTTGGAATTTATTGAATAATTGGTGATTTTATACTATTGAGTCTTATAATCCTTTTGTTTTCATTTTATACCCCCTAGTAACATTTAGTAATTTTTCTCTTTTTTGGGGGTGGTGGTGAGACATTGTTTTCTCATTTTTTCTATTTCTGCTGCTTTATTTGTATTTTTAAATTTTATTTAATTCAAGTTAGTTAGCATATAGTGTAATAATGGTTTCAGGAGTAAAATTTAGTGATTCATCCCTTACACATATAATACCTAGTGCTCATTCCAATGAGTGCCCTCCTTAATGCCCATCCCCCATTTATCTAGTCCCCCCACCAGTTCCCCTCCACCAACCCTCAGTTTGTTCTCTGTATTCAAGAGTCTCTTAGGGTTTGTCTCCCTGTCTGTTTTTATATTAATTTTGCTTCCCTTCCCCTATGTTCATCTGATATCATATGATATTTATCTTGCACTGACCGACTGATTTTACTTAGCATAATATACTCTAGTTCTGTCTGTTTTGTTGCAAATGGTAAGATTTCATTATTTTCATTGCCAAGTATTGTGTGCGTGTGTGAGTGTGTGTGTGTACACACATGCACGCATGCGTGTGTATACCTTCTTTAACCTTTCATCAGCCAATGGATGTTTGGGCTCTTTTCCATCATTGGGCTATTGTTGATAGTGCTGCTATAAACGTTGGGGTGCATTTGAAAGGTGCATGTGCCCCTTGAAATCAGTGTTTTTGTATCCTTGGCTGAAAACCTAGTAGTGCACTTGCTGGGTCTTAAGGTAGTTTTATTTTTAATATTTTGAAGAACCCCCATACTGTTTTCCAGAGCAGCTACACCAGTTTGCATTCCCACCAGCAGTGCAAGAGGGTTTCCCTTTCTCCACATCCTCACCAACATTCTTTTTTCCTGAGTTGTTAATTTTAACAGTTTTGACAAGTGTGAGGTGGTATCTCATTGTGGTTTTGATATGTAATTCCCTGACGACGAGTGATGTTGAACATTTTTTCATGGGTCTGTTGGCCATCTGAATGTCTTATTTGGAGAAGTGCTTGTTGATGTCTTTTGCCCATTTTGTCACTGGATTATTTGTTTTCTGGGTGTTGAGTGTCATACATTCTCTATAGATTGTGGATACTAGCCTTCTATCTGATATGTCATTTGCAAATATCTTCTCCCATTCTGTAGGCTGCCTTTTATTTCTCTTGATTGTTTCCTTGACTGTGCAGAAGCTTTTTATCTTGATGAGGTCCCAATAGTTCATTTTTGCTTTTGTTTCCCTTGCTTCTGGAGACATGTCTAGTTAAGAAGTTTCTGTGGATGAATGACAGAGGAGAGATCACAACCAACACTGCAGAAAAACAAACAATAATAAGAGAATATTATAAGCAATTATATGCCAACAGTTTGGGCAATCTGGAAGAAATGGACAAATTCCTAGAAGCTCACAAACTACCAAAACCAAAACAGGAAGAAGTAGAAAATTTGAACAGACCCTTGAGCAGGAAAGACATTGAATTAGTAATCAAAAATCTCCCAACAAACGAGAGTCCAGAGCCGGATGGTTTCCCAGGGTAGTTCTACCAAACTTTCAAAGAAGAGTTAGTACCTATTCTTTTGAAGCTGTTCCAGAAAATAGAAATGGATGGAAAACTTCCAAACTCATTCTGTGAGGCCAGCATTATCTTGATTCCAAAATCAATGACCTCACTAAAAAGGAGAATTACAGGGGCGCCTGGGTGGCTTAGTCGGTTAAGTGTCCGACTTTCACTTAGGTCATGATCTCGCGGTTCGTGGGTTCGAGCCCCGTGTCAGGCTCTGTGCTGACTGCCAGTTCAGAGCCTGGAGCCTGTTTCAGAGTCTGTCTCCCTCTCTCTCTGATCCTCCCCTGCTCACTCTGTCTCTCCTAGAAATGAATAAAACATTTAAAAAAAAAAAATAAAAAGAATTACAGACCAGTTTCCCTGATGAACATTGATGCACAAATTCTCAACAAGATACTAGCAAATCAAATCCAACATTACATTAAAAGAATAAAGAATTAAAAGAATTATTCACAATGCAGTGGAATTCATTCTTGGGCTGAAGGGCTGGTTCAATATCTGCACATCAACCAGTGTGATACATCACATTAATAAAAGAAATGAGAAGTATCAGATGATCCTCTCCATAGAAAGTTGCAGAATATAAAATCAGTGTACAGAAGTCAGTTGCATTTCTATACACCAGTAATAAGGCCAGCAGAAAGAGAAATCAAGGAATCCATCCTAATTACAGTGGCACCAAAGATGATAAGATATCTAGGAATAAACCTAACCAAAGAGGTAAAAGGTTTTTATGCTGAAAACTATAGAAAGCTCACAAAAGAAATAGAAGAAGACCCAAAGAAATGGAAAAACATTCCGTGCTCATGGATTGGATCATTAAAGTGTCTGTTCTACCCAAAACAATCTACTCATTCAGTGCAATTCCTATCAAAATAATACCAGCATTCTTCACAGAGCTAGAACAAACAATTCTAAAACCATATAAGACCCCAAAGAGCCAAAGTAATGTTGAAAAAGAATACTAAAGGTAGAGGCATCATAATTCTGGACTTCAAGCTGTATTACAAAGCTGTAGTCATCAAGACAGTATGGTAGTGCCACAAAAACAGACACATAGATCAGTGGAAGAGAATAGAGAACCCAGAAATGAACCCACAAACATATGGCCAACTAATCTTTGACAAAGCAGGAAGGAATATCCAATGGGTGGGGCGCCTGGGTGGCTCAGCTGGTTAAGCGTCCGACTTCAGCTCAGATCATGGTCTCGTAGTTTGTGGGTTCGAGCCCCGCGTTGGCCTCTGTGCTGACAGCTAGCTCAGAGCCTGGAGCCTGCTTTGGATTCTGTGTCTCCCTCTCTCTCTGACCCTCCTCTGCTCATGCGGTCTTTCTCTCTCTCAGAAATAAATAAAACATTTTAAAAAATAATAAAAGGAATATCCGACGGGAAAAAAGATAGTTTCTTTAGCAAATGGTGTTGGGAAAAGTGGTTAGTGACATACAAAAGAATGAACTTGGACCACTTTCTCACACCATACACAAAAATAAACTCAAAGTGAACGAAAGACCTAAATGTAAGATAGGAAACCATCCAAATACTAGAGGAGAAAACAGGCACCAACCTCTTTGACCTTGGCTGTAGCAACTTCTTACTAGAAGTGCATGTTTTGCCAGTATTTTTATTTTTTGATGATGTAAAAATTTTCGTAAATGAGACTGCTGTGTGATTTTCTTAAGTTACCTTGGTGTTTTTAAGTGAGTTCAGCAGCTTCCTTTCTCTTCTTTCTGTTTTCCAAAACAATTGATATCTGGGATTTCTAGAAAATTCTAAATGTATTTTTCAGCTTGCAAGCAGTACTTTGAAAAATATCCAGGAGATCATGAACTCCTTTGGGAAGTTGAAGGTGTTGGACACTGGTACCAGCGAATACCAGTCACGAGAGCATTACAAAGAGAAACACTTAAAATGACAGGTAAGCATTACAGGTTTTCAGTTTGAACATATGTCCAGCTTAAAAATCAGTGGTTATTGGTGGTTGTGTCTTGCAGTCCAGAGTTCTGGTGTATTGTAATGCCACCTCTTTAGTAACAGACCCTCTTTCTAAAGTTTGAATTTATGTTACGTATTTACATTTGAGTTACTAATAATTAGAGGACCTAAAATAATAGCTCATAAGAATCTAACATTCTTGTAGCAATTGGTGGGTAAGAAGGAAACACAGATACCAAATCAACATAGAATAGGCATCAAGAGATCAAAGGGTAGTTCCCAATGGCATGCATCTCTCCTCATAGTCACTAAATACAGATAACTAATACTTTTGTAATTGCAAGATTTCATTATAAGTTACTGACGAAGATGTTCCACACCTAGCCTTCTGGTGGGGATGCTATTCAGGACTTTTGTGAAAATCAAGACAAACAATGTTACATTAAAACCAAACACTGATCAGGTTACAATTTTAAAAATTCTTCTATACACAGCAGTTTCTCAAAATGAAGCTAAAAGACCTATGCCTGGAGAATATGGTCTTGCATCTGTTCCAGAATATGAAGCAGAAACTGAAGACAATCAGTCTAGTGAGATGCAGCTAACGGTAGGTACACTCTATGTTCATTGTAGGAAATGATTTTTCTGTGTCTTTAAACTAGATTCAGCTGATATTTAATTGTGTAAATGTTACAGTTCATTGACCAAACTTAACGTAATTTTTACTAGTTTTCTTGCTTTTTCCTGGTAATTGGTTACTAAGGACTTCATTTTCCTTAAAAAATAATTTGGAATACACACACAATAATACAAAAGAAAATAAAAACCTGTAATTCTACTACCCTAGATACAGCAACTGTGAAGAATTTTGTATTTGTATTACATATGTATTATAAAACATGTATCTTTTGATTTCTGTTGTGCTGCTTCTGTTGTCTCCATTAACATAGTATTGCAAGCATTTCCCATGGCATTATTATTTAAAACATGATTATTAAGTAGCATACTATTCTATTATATAGAAATATTATTTCTTTAATGTATTATACTTACGTGTTTTACGTACATAAGTATCCCAGCAGTGAATACATTTATACATGCATCTTCTTTGCCTATGTAATGCTTCCCTTGTACAGATAAATTTTAGAAGTGATACTAGTAGTAGATCACAGGTTATGAAGTTACTATGGGAAGTTTGAGGCTTTGTGGAATGTAGTGCACTTTGCAAATACTAGGTAACCCAGGGACACGTGCTTTAGGGAATTATTTGTTCCCAATATTCCTGCCTTAATTAGCATAAGTGTTGACTGAACATTTTTGAAACTTTTTTTGTTGTTGTTTATATACTTATTTTGAGAGAGGGAGAGGGAGAGAGACAAAGACAGAGAGAGAGAGAGAATGAGAGAATGTGCGAGCAGGTAGGGGCAGAGAGGGAGAGAATCCCAAACAGGCTTCATGCTGTCGGCACAGAGCCCGACATGGGGCTCAGTCTCACAAACCATGAGATTATGAGCTGAACCAAGATCAAGAGTTGGATGCTCAACTGACTGAACCACCTAGGTGCCCTGAAACATTTTTAAGGATAACGTAAATAATATAATCACGTATAAGGAGTTTTAGGTTTTTCTACATTTGGAACTTCAGACTTCATGATATTGTAGTCCAGATTCCTCAGATAAACTCAAATTTATGTAGTATTGTTCAGACATAAAACCAGTGAATATAGAAAAAATGTCTTCCTATACATGTAGTGAGAGTAATCATGTACTTTAATAATAAGCCAAATACTTTTAAATGGGTTATGTAAATGAGAATACACATTAAACCATATCATAAAGTTGCAGCATAAGTAGGATTTTCTTTCATTTTAGAAATTCTTATTCTTCAGATTACTTTAAGATTTTAATTAGTTCAAGGAAAATATTTCCTGCAGTAAGCTAATTTTAATCAGTAACCACATGGGGAAGTGGTTTGTTTATTTTATTTATTTATTTATTTGTTTATTTGTTTATTTTAACTACATCTTTTTAGCTTTATGGAGGTATAATTGACAAAAATTATATCTATGTTGACAAGTTGTACACTTGGATGTTTTGATATACACTGTGAAGCAATCAGTACATGATTTATTCTTTAGGTGGTGATGGTATTTCTACTTGCTTTTTCTTATTTTGGGACATAAAACATTACATATATTTCTCTTACACTTTTGTATGTTTTATTTACTGATCTTTATTTGTGTCTTAACCTTGTCTAGTTGAACTAGAGGCTTCTTGGAAGACCGGATTTTTTTCTAGTCATTCGTTACAGTTTACCCTTTTTGTGTTCTGTCAATAGACCTTAAAGTCTCTATGTCCACTATGTTGTAGGGTTTCAGTAAGTGTGTGATAAAGAATGGGTAGTAGTTGATATAATAAAGTAGATGCTGTGGCAAACACTGGATGTACAAAAATACAATTCTTCTAAGCATGGGAGAAGTAGATGGTCCATTATTGGAAATAAATAAATGAATAACTACAGGATTATAATTGACTTAATAGAGTATATAGCAAATGATTGAGGGTGCATGGCAGAGTATGGCTAACTCTGCCCAAGGAATGGAATAGGTAAAGTAGTAACCAAGCTGACTTGGAAAGGGTAGGGGGGAGTTGTGTGACAAAGTTTAGAGCATTCCAAAGGCTAGCTTGCAGAAAAAGAGAGGTGTGAAAGGAAATGGCATATTTGGTATGTAAGAGGTATTTGGGTTTGAAGAGGCTGAGAGTTTGTTTTCTAGGCAGTGATAAACCTTTGAAGTTTTTTTGTTTGTTTTTGTTTTTAAAACAAAAGAGTAGTGAAATTTGTGCTTTGGAAGCATTTCTGTCATCAGGTTGGAGGGAATCACAGAGCATGTGTTCAGAAGGAGGGATACCAGGGATGAGGCTATTAGAATTGTTCACATTAAAGATGATAAAAGCATGAACTAAAACTTTGGTAATACAATGGGGGATGGTTTTGAGAGATTTGTCAGAATTGACAGGCTTTGTGGTTCACTGAATAAGGGTTAGGAAGTCATTACCACCTCACAGGTTTTTGACTAGAATGGTTGACTGAGTCGTTATTGCCATTAACCAAGATAGAGAATAATATTGGGAAAAGATAAGAGTTCAGTTTGGGACAGGGTGGTTGTGAAATTGGATGGAGCATCTGTATTTCACTGAAAGAGAGTTTTGGAAATCAGGGAAGAGTTGGGGAGATTAAATTTTATGTTTGGATTCATCAGCAAATAGATGTTGAAGTAAAGGCAGTAAAGTTATACAGGAAGAGCATGTGGATAGAGAAGAGAAAGTAGTCGAGGACACAGCACTAGGAAACTCGAGTGTGTCACACTGTAACCTATTAGATGGCTTGGTAAGTGCTCAGCCTCATGATAACCTGAGGATATAATTTAGCCTTTTAATTTCTTAAGTAAGTACCCTTAATTGATGAATAGTGAGTATAAAAAGTACGACTTGAAAAATGTTTCAAAAGGTTTTCTTTGACACTAAATGAAATAGATTCATAGGGAGAAAAAATGATATAAAGGTTTTGCCTTTAATATGTATCTCTGTTTTAGATTGACTCTCTAAAAGATGCCTTTGCAAGTACTTCTGAAGGTAAGAAATTTAGCAGATCTTCCAGTATGTGAGACACTAGAATTTAGGGGCGGGGGATGTCCCTTAGTGTAAATGAAGACTTACCTAAGATCTAGACCTGAGTTCGTTTTGTTTTGTTTTGTTTTTGTTTTTTATTGTCAAGTTAGCCAACATACAGTGTAGTGTTGGCTTCAGGAGTAGATTCCCATGATTCATTACTTACATAAAATACCCAGTGATCATCCCAACAAGTGCCATCCTCAGTGGCCATTATTCATTTTCCCCACTCCCCCCAGTGCTTTACCCCATCAACCCTTAATTTGTTCTCTGTATTTAAGAGTCTCTTATGGTTTGCATCCCTCTCTGTTTGTATCTTATTTTTCCTTCTCTTCCCCTATGGTCATCTGTAAAATATAGAGCTGAGTTCTAATGCCACCACTACCACTTGTTTTGCATGGTGAACTAAGCAAGCTATCACACCTCTCTTTTTTTCTTTTCCTTACCAGTAATACAGGAAGAGTGATGTCTACCTTGTGTATTTCCCAAGATTATTGGGAGAGAATATACATGAAAATGCAGAATACATTGTATAGCTCAGAGCAATATGGAAATGTGAGGCATGAATAGTGCAAAGTTATTTCATAATTTAGAAAAAGATATTGCCATTGTTTCTTAGCCTGATATAAATGAGAGAAAGAAATGTGTAATGGGGGGGAAATATATGTAAGCTAGCATAGTTCTTGAATTTCTGTGTAGTGTAACAGGTAACCCTTTGAAGACATCATGAATTAATTGTAGTTTTGCTGTTTTTTCTCAGGTCATGATAAAACACCAGTTTCCACTCGTACTCGGAGTAGTCATCTAAAGCGGCCAAAGATTGGAAAGCGGTTTCAGGATTCTGAATTTACTAGTTCACAAGGAGAAGATGAAAAGACTCCCCAGACTTCACCTACAGCTTCCATAAACAAGTATTGTTTATTATACTCTCATTATTTCGTTACTCTTAATTTTCGTATTATTAGTATTTAGTACTTAAGGTGGTGGCTCTTTTTACATTGTTTGTGTACAGATAGCCTTGGTGTAAGAGTCTGTATTTGAATTCTTCTGCAGGATTACTGATTACAGTTACCAGTGGTGTCACTTTGACATGTTACGGTGATGAGTTGATAGTAAGAGAATAAAATAAGCCCATAGTTTAATCTCTCGTGTGAAAATCCAAGGGAGTTTTCTAGTGATTATATTATCCCAAATGAGTCATTATCATCAACTTTGATAGTAGCTGTAGTTTTTTTGTTTTTGTTTTTGTTTTTGTTTTTGTTTGTTGTTTTTTTAGAGTAGGCTCCATACCCAGTGTGGAGTCCAGCACGGGGTTTGAACTCATAATTCTGAGATCAAGAGGTGGATGCTTAACCAGCTGAGCCATCCAGGTGCCCCAGTAGCTGTAGTTTTAATAATGCTGAGATTTAGTCAGTTTTTTAAAAATCTTAGGTTTTATTTTATAAGTAATTTATTTGACTGGGTTATTGGATATAACACAAGTTAGCGATAACTGTTAGTGGGTTCAGTCAACCCCTCTAGGAACTAATTAGCCAGCTGAATCAACAGAACCCTCTGGTCAAAACTTTATCTTCAAAGAAAGCAAGATTTCAAATTTTTAGTAAAACTAGACTTTTGTCTTAATAGTCCTAGCTGCTGTTCCTGAGTTAACCAGTCATAGTTTGGCTTTTTCATCTGTGAAATTATTTCACTCAAGTAGAAAATTCGGTAGCTATGCTGATTTCATTACGTAAATAATTTTAAATTTGGATAATTGAGAATTTGTAAATGTTTTATTTTGGTGAAAAATTCATGTTAAAGGCAAATATAAATATTTGAATCAAGTAATTTGTGAAAAGGTAAGAGGTTAGATAATTACGGTTTTCTTACTGAGCAACATTTTGATGTAATACTCTTTTTAGAAGGGAATGTAACAGTGGATTTTAAATTGAACATCTCAGAATTATTGTGGAATTTTTTTTTAATATGCTAGTCAGTTTTACTGATTTTATTTTTAAAATTTTTGAAATTTTATTTTTATATATTTTTGAAAGAGAGAGACAGAGGGGCGCCTGGGTGGCTTAGTCGGTTAAGCGTCCGACTTTCGCTTGGGTCATGATCTCGCGGTTCGTGGGTTCGAGCCCCGCGTCGGGCTCTGTGCTGACTGCTGGCTCAGAGCCTGGAGCCTGTTTCAGTCTGTGACTCCCTCTTTCTCTGACCCTCCCCTGCTCACGCTGTCTCTCTCTCTCTCTCTCCCCTAGAAATAAATAAAAAACATTAAATAAAAAAAAAAATTTAAAGAGAGAGACAGAGCATGAGCAGGGGAGGGGTTGAGAGAGATTGGGAGACAACAGAATCCGAAACAGGCTCCAGACTCTGAGCAGTAAGCACAGAGCCTGATGCGGGGCTCAAACTCCGGAACGCGAGATCATGACCGAGGCCGATGTCAGACACTTAACCAACTGAGCTAGCCAGGTGCCTCAATTTGCTGATTTTAAAGATACTGCAATTTTTATACACTTCAGTGATTTTTCCACATTTTGCAGCTGTTTTGCTTTGCAGCACAGCAGTGTGTACACTATCCTGGACAAAATTACCAGCAAGACTGGAATGATGTATTAATAGAAGGCACCGTCATGCATATTACATTACCAGAGAACAGAAACACAGTAGAGACTGTTTTCACTGTACGCAGCTTAAGGAAAGGGAAAAGGGGAGTAGGCGTGTGTTGAGCAGCCAACCATTTCTATACTGGAGAGGGGCACATAGAAAATCTTAGATGTGGGGCTACTAAATCTGGCCTAATATCAAGACCACAGCATTTAGAGTTCTGATTTTTGTTAGTTTGTAACTAAATGATTCCCTCCTGGCATATACTTGTATTCTTGTTAAGGGTTATGGGTACACACGCTGGTCACAGCAAGTAGATAAAATGCCCTCATCATTTCACAGATTATTCTCTACTGGAAAAGGAGTGAAAGATTTTTGTCCCCTGTTGCCTTCTGTTGAAGAGGTCCATGTTAATGAATTCAGAGTGCCCATTAGTGCATTTTGATGAGCGCGTAACAAGTTTCTGTTGGGTTGTAGTTTTGCGGGGAGCCAAGAAAAAAGGCAAGATTCTCCAGTTGGAGAAATTGCACTTTTTGTGTTTCCAACATTAATCGGCAGAGACCGTAACACCTAAAATGTTAGGATTTTTTTTTGACTCAAAGGACTTGAATTCAGTTGGGCATGTCCTTTGAAGTTCATTTTGTTATAAATAGTTTAAGATGTGGTCATTTGTCAGTCCTTAATTCTCCAAGTCTAGTTTTATAAATTAACCATGTGAATTCTGTTGTGAAATTGGGGAAATAATATCCACCTCAATTTAACTGATAACCAAAAGATGCTTTTCACATAAAAAAGTGATCAAAAAGGCTGTGTCACATTCCAAAGCCCCCCCCCCCCCCCCAAATGAACAAGAATGCAAACATGCTGAATAACGTACCACTGCCAAGACTGCCAGCAGTGAAGCTTCAGTGACACTGTCCTGTGAAGCGGCCTTCCATTTGCCCGGTTCCTCTTCCAGAGCCAAATTTCTGTGCCATGCCACCTCCCGGAGGAGGTCCTCTTCCATCCTGGTCATGCATCATTCCTCTGCCCAATATTCCACGTGGACCACCAGGACCTTGATCATTGCACCTAATATCCCTGCGATCATCACCACCACCTCTGGTTTCTCGCTCTCTTGCAGCTCTTCTTTTTTTCTCTTCCACAGTTAAACGTACTTCCCCTCAAAATATGATTGGTTTTGCAACCAAGATTCTCTTACCTGGTTCAGAGTTCTCAAAATCTTCAAAACCAAAGTTTGGAAGCTTTCCCCCAGCATCCTTGGTATTGACACGAAGTTCCACAACGTTTCCAATGAACTTGCAGTTCATTTTCATCAGTATCATGTGGGAAGTTAAAACAAAAGTTGGTGACTGTCTGGATAGCAAATTATTTATTCTATGGTTGTCAGATTCCTTCTGTTCAGTAGCTCCTCTGCCTGGTCTTGGTCCTCTCGGAGGGAAACCAGGTTGTTTTCTAGGGTGTTGTTCATGCACTGGAGGTGGCTGAGACTGAACTTCTCGTTTAGCTTCAACTTGAGGCTGTGGTGACCATTCCTGTGGCAGAGGAACAGGTTCAGCAAGGAGGAGGAGAAGTGGACTTCTCCTCTAATTCTTCTAAGTTCTTCCCCTCCACTGTGGCCTTACTTCTTCATTCTTTGTTTCAGATACTGGCTCAGGTTCAGGTTCATGAGAGGACTCCTCCAAAGGCTCCACTATGCCATTAGCCACAGGCTGAGCTTCACAGTAACTGCTATCAGCATTTTCTTGCCCAGGTTCTGGGGATGATTGCTTTTCTTCTTGTTCTTCTTCTACCTCATCTTCTGATTCCTCTTTGAGTTCTGGTTCAGAATCGCCAAATACTTCATCTTCATAACGAAACATATCATTGTGAACATAAACTTATTTGGAACAGATCCTTCACGGGCCAGAACAAAGCTTTGTATAAACTTCCTGTCTGACTGTCCACTGTTAGATAGCAAACCCGTGACCTGGACAACTGCTCCATCTCACGGTTGTGTGAGCATCCACATGATGAATTTTAGTATGGCATTCACTGAAGGTCAGAGATAATACTTGTGGTGTGTATCATTTTGGCCATGAGCAGCCTCCTGGGCTTTCTACTAGTATCTACTCCACCATGAACATAGGAAGTATTCCTTCCATACAACCTGTATAAATATTCTGGAGCTTTATTCAGCAAAGTATAATATTACCTCATAAACTCCCATCCTCTAAGCAGCAGACTGGGCTTCTCCATAACCATTTCTTTGCTGCACAGTGTCAAATACTCAAGAGTCGCCGAGGACCAACTGCAGTGGATTCTTCTCACTCGCTGCCCCCTCCCTTCTACAAACCTGAAGCCTCAGAAGCCCGAGAGCCGCAAGCTCATTTCCCTTACAACCACCTCTTCCTGGGCCGAATTTTTTTTTCTTAAATACAGTAGTAATAGTTGGACGAAATGTTTGAATGCTTACTCACCCAGTATGAAGAATAAAACTTCATCTTTGTCTTTTGAAGAACTGACCACCTAGTGGTTTCTAATACAGATAGCTGTACGTATGACACAAGAACAGTATAAGGTGATTTGTGATGGTACAAAATGGAATTACAAAATGGTGTAGATGCAGAGAAGAGATTTGATTGAACTAATTGAGGGGATGGAGAGAAGAAGCATTTAGGTTACATGATTGAGGAGATGGTGAAGTTACTACTCAAACTGGAGAGAGAGGACAAGATTGTAAGAAGGGAAGATTGCCTTTGGACTGTAAGATTGGAAGTTGTTGGCCGAACAACATTTAGTCGATTCTTTAAAGTGTTACTTTATTAACAGACTCCTGAACGTTTATATTCATCCTTAAGAAAACAAGTAAGAATGCTTGTCTTTTCTAGATTGGAGTCTGCTGTACGTACATCAGAGAGCTCAGAAGAATTCCTGGAAGAAGCACCCGAACAAAGCATGATTGAATTTGAGGACGAAAATAGTGATAAGGATGCTGGGCCTGCACCAGAAACCCAGGCACATCCGGAAAAGCAAGATGGGGAAAAGGTATGCAGTCCTGCTTTTTAGCCTAAGTGAATGAAAGTAAACTAAATTTTAACTTTGTTAATCCTGTATTGTTAGAAAAATAAGATGATACATTTTAGAGTAGGAGTAGAGATTGTATTCAGTGCTACAAAGCATTTGTCTGTACTAAACAAGGTCAAGTTGGGCAGAGGATAAAGCTACAAATATCATTTTATATTTCAACATGAATTTTTAAAAGTTTGACTTACACCAAAGATAAAATAGAGGATGTTTAGGTCATAAGATCCCTCAGTACCTTTATAATGTAAATTAATTTGAGAAATTAAACATACTTAAGAAGTGACACAAATCATAGGACTGTAAGGTCTACCTTGTAGAACCAAGTCAGGATGCCTTAAGGTTAACAGGCCCTCAGCTGCACCTATATTTTGGCTCTATGAGGGTAAGATTCATTGTCCTCACCCCCGCTTGTATGTATATTTATATATTTTGACTATAATTTATTACATATTCCTGGAAACATAACTAAATTCATAATTTTAAACACTAGAAAACTTTATCTGGCCTAATTTCTACAGCTCCTCAAGTATTGATCCTTATCTTTTTAATTCTTCCCTATCCACTTCCCTGTTCTCCTTTTTTTCTTTTTTTTTTTAAAGTTTTAATTTATTTTGAGACAGAGACAGTGTGAGTGGGGGAGGGGCAGAGAGAGAGGGAGACAGAGAATCCCAAGCAGGCTCCAGGCTCCAAGCTGTTAGCATAGAGCCTGACATGGGGCTCAAACCCACAAAACCCAGAGATCATGACCAGAGCCAAAACCAAGAGATGGACACTTAACCCACTGAGCCATGTAGGCGCCCCCTTTCCTTTTTCTTCAGCATTTTCAATCTTTGGCTCTCTAGAGATTCCTTATTTCTAATTTCATGCACGCTTAAGTTTCTTTAGAAATCTTTTACCCTTTGGCCCAGTCCAGCCAGCACCCCAACAAGTGAAACCGTGTTACCAATTTTAATTTTAAAATGTTTATTTTTGAGAGAGAGTGTGTGAGCAGGGGAGACGCAGAGAGAGGAGACACAGAATCTGAAGCAGGTTCCAGGCTCTGTGCTGTCAGCACAGAGCCCAGTGCAGAGGTTGAACCCACAAACTGCGAGATCATGACCTGAGCCGAAGTTGGACACTCAACTGACTGAGCCACCCAGGCACCCCTACCAATTTTATTTTCTTAATTTACTTCACTTTAGCTCCTGCCTCCTCTATTTCATGAAACTATATTTTTATTTATTTATTTATTTATTTATTTAATTAATTTATTTATAAAAAGAATCACCAAGGATTCCCTTTTTTTTTTTTTTTAATTTTTATTTATTTCTAGGAGAGAGAGAGAGACAGCATGAGCAGGGGAGGGTCAGAGAGAGAGGGAGATACAGACTCTGAAATAGGCTCCAGGCTCTGAGCTGGCAGTCAACACAGAGCCCGATGCGGGGCTCGAATCCACGAACCGCGAGATCATGACCTACGGCCCGAACCCACGAACCGCGAGATCATGACCTAAGCGAAAGTCGGACGCTTAACCAACTAAGCCACCCAGGCGCCCCTATATTTTTATTTTTTAAAAGAAGTTTGTTTTGAGAGAGAGAGAGACTGAGTGGGGGAGGGATAGAGAGGAAATCCCACGTAGGTTCTGTGTGGTCAGCACAGAGACCAGTATAGGGCTCGAACCCACGAATTGTAAGATTATGATCTGAGCTGAAATCAGTAGTCCGATGCTTAACAAACTGAGTCACCCACGTGCCCCAGTGAAACTGTATTTTTAAATGGCATTTTTTTCTTGTGTTGTAGGATTTTTGGACAGTAAAGCACAAATTTTAAAAAAGGGGATCTATGAACATTCAGTGTTTATGGGAATATATATTTGTGGTTTTGTTCTCTTTTAAAAACTTAAGATTAGGGGCACCTGGGTAGCTCCGTTGGTTGAGCGTCCAAATCTTGATTTCTGCTTAGGTCATAATCCCAGGATTGTGGAATCAGGTGCCATGTTGGGTTCGTACTGAGCTTGGAGCCTGCTTAGGATGCTCCCTCCCTCTTTCTCTCTCTCCCTCTCTCCCTCTCTTCCCGACCCCCCGGTGCTTCTCTACTCATGCTCACTCTCGCTGTCTCTTAAAAAGAATCCTTAAGATTATACTGTACGTAGTTCATGTAACCAATTTCATTTGTCCAGCAATACAGTGAGTACATTACATACTCTTGTAGTCAGCAGTGACACTTAGTGGCTTTCCTTATCTAGGTTGATTACTGTGACTTTTGCAATATTCTCTAGTCCTGTGTAACTTAGGCCTTACAACACTACTGTATTTTGGTTTCGTGATAGGATTTTCCTATCTCTGAAGTTTTGTTTTGGTTTATTTATTACTTGGCTCTTCTTTTTCCTTCCTTTCCACCTGGAAGTCTCAGTTCTTGACTTTCTGCCCTTTGGTTCATGTTCTCTCCTTTGAAAATGCATCCAATCCAGTAGTTGAATTCTTAATCTCTGTGGGGATGACTAGTAACTCTAGACTTTGAATGTTGATTCAGACTGTAATGCTTCATTATTGTTTGTCTTCTGAATAGTTTGATGTAGACAGATGTCTTTTATCTTCTTAAATTCAGCACAATCTTTATTCTTATTATTTCCGTATTGGGTCTTTTTTCCTGTATTTTTTGGGGGCGCCTGGGTGGCTAAGTCGGTTAAGTGTCCGACTTCAGCTTAGGTCATGATCTCACTGTTCTTTTGAGTTCAAGCCCCACATCTGCTTTTGAGTTCACGCCCCACATCCGGCTCTGTGCTGACAGCCCTGCTTTGGATCTTGTGTGTGTGTGTGTCTCTCTCTCTCTTCCCCTTTCCCACTTGCATTCTCTCTCTCTCTCTCTGTCTCTCTCCCCCTCTTTGTCTCTCTCTCTCAAAAATAAATAATAAACATAAAAATTTTTTTTCCTGTATTTTAAAAAAAATCTTCCATTCTATTCCCAAACCTAAAACTTGAAGGACAGGTTTCTCTCTTCTGTTACTTCTCACTTTTAGTTAATTATCAACATTTTGGGGTTTTTTTTAGCATTTGCTATGTTTTTCTCATTTTCTTCCTTTCAACATTTTTTCCTATCCTAGTTGATTATTTTATGAACTTTATTATAATTACCTTCTGTATGCAGTTTATTTTCTATATACTGTCTGGGCAGATAAAGTTTTTTAAGTCCCTCTTTTCAATATTCCTATGATTGTAGGGACCCTACGTAATCCAGACAGATCCATTTCTGAACACTTGAGTGCATCACTTTCCTGACTTTTAAAATGGTAATCAAATGCCCTCTATTAGAATGTCCCTAAGATTCATTAGAACTGTTAAACATTAAATAGAAGTATTTTGTGTTGATAAACATTGGAAGAAGAATTTCAGAATTGGAGAGTTTGTGTTCTCAGCTGACTGATATTTCCATATTTAATGTGATGTAAGGAGCAGGATTGTTCAAAAAGTGACCCAGAGTTGACTGGAAAATTAACTCCGATTGAGGGCTTTTATCTTCCAGCAAGAAGCTGTATCCAGGCTGAGCTTCGTACAGGACTGGTAGTGCTTCGTCCCCTTGGTGTAGGCTTAAACCGTAACTTCCCACAGGCCCCAAAGACGTCAAGTGCTGAGCAAGTACTGTGTGTAGAGCTGGCATCAACTCTGGTCTCTGTCTGGTGCCTTTTTACTGAAAAGGTTCCACTCATGCTGGCCCTGTAAGAAGGAGGAACAAGAAGGGGGCGGTTTCTTCACTGCATCTCAGACCTGCCCTGTGTCTGCAGAGCAACCTGGTCGGTCTGCTGTCACCATGACAACAGGGGAGTTGGGGTTCCTTGTGCTTTCTTTTACCGACCCTGCCTGAGATGTTTCCTTTTTTTCCTCCCTAACTCATGTCCTGTGCTACAGTTAAGACTTTATCTTGAGTCCTGGTGCATGACAGGTGGAGACTGGCAGTGGACCCTCCTTGCATGACAAGTAATAAGTTAGCTTAAAATTGTGTCCTGACTTACTTTTCCCCCTCCAATCGTGTAGGAATCTGAATTAGAGCCTATGAATGGTGAGATAATGGATGATACCCTTAAGGCCTCACTTACAACGGAAGAGGAGGACTCCACTAGTGAAGTTCTAGATGAAGAAATAAAACTGCAGTCTTTTAATTCCAGTGAAGACTCTGCAACTCTTGTTCCATTGGTGGTAGAATCTTCTAAACCCCCTGAGACTGTTGCGCAGGATAAGGTAAGAGGGATATAACTTAATTTTTTATAGACAAATTGTTCCAGTGTTGGTGACATGGAAGGCATATTGTGGTATATAAGTTTTCCTCCACCTTAATGTATATAGTCTTTCAGGAAAATTAATTATATGTTATACTAGGTTAGGTATTTTAAGAAAATGCAATCAGTAATATTCCCTCATTTCTAATCTTGGTAAACTTACTCATACGTGTCTGACTTATGTTAACAAAGCGAGTTTATTTTGTTTTATTTTACTTTCATTTTATTTTAAGTTTATTTATTTTGAGAAAATGAGCAGGAAAGGGGGACCGGGAGAGGGAGAAGGAATCACAAGTGGGGCTCAATCTCAGGAACTGAACTGTAAGATCATGACCTGAGCTGAAATCAAGAGTTGGACACTTAACCAACTGAGCCACCTAGGTACCCTCAAATGAGTTTTATTTTGTAGGTTTAGAGAAATGCTTAGAAAACTGGATAAAACATTGCTTAACTTGTTTTAATTGGGGAGACAGGTTAGATGAGTGGGAAAAACTCATGGATGGAATATTTTAAAAGAAATTTCATTTTTACTTTTGAATATTCCAATTTAAGGCCAAAAAACTTTCATATAGCATTATTTCATTAGTGTTTCCCCTAAATACACGAATAAAATGTCCACTGCTCTTACCTTTCATCTACTGAAACCATAGTCAACCTTGGTGGGATGGCAAGTGTCAAGCTCCAGGAGACTCTTGCCTCTGTCTCCAGTAACACAAGACACAAACGTTTTAGTTCGTTGATGGTTTTAAAGAATCTTCATAGGGAGTTTAAAGTGTCCCAAGTACTTCTTGAGGCAGGCATCAGATTATCAGGTCAGTTTTGAGAAAGTTGGCTTGTGCTTAGAATATGTACACCTGATTAACGAAAGTGACCGAGTACAGAATTCTTTAAAATGCAGTTCACTGTCACTGAATATTAGTGTCTGAGAATAATTTATGTAAGAACTCTACTGTAAAAGTTTGTTCACCAGGTTTTTTATTTTTAGACCTCACATATAACTGACTCAGAAATGTTGCTAGACGAAGGCCCATCTGATGAAAAAGGGCACACTGAAGAGAAACTACCACTAGTTTCCAGAAAGAAAGCACATTTTGGGAGTTCAGACAATGTTGGCACTGTCCCAAATGAAGAACGCTCTGACAGTGGTTTTCCAAACTCTGTGATAGCTGAGTTTTCTGAGGAATCCATCTCTGAAAATTTGTCACCCAATACCACTTCTTCATTGGAAGACCAGGGTGAGGAGGGGGTACCTGAGCCCCAGGAAACGCCTGCAGCTCTTCCTCAGAGTTCTTTGATAGAGGTTGAACTTGAAGATGTGCCATTTGCACAGAACGCGGGACAGAAGAACCAGTCAGAGGAACAGTCTGAAGCATCTTCTGAGCAACTGGATCAGTTCACACAGTCAGCGGAAAAAACTGTGGATAGCAGCTCAGAGGAGATCGAAGTGGAGGTGCCTGTGGTAGACAGGCGGAATTTAAGAAGGAAGGCCAAAGGGCATAAAGGACCTGCTAAGAAGAAAGCGAAGCTGTCATGAATTGAGAAGAAATGCAGACGACAAACCCTCTTCTTTGTAACATACTTGTTTTTAAAAAATGATAATAAATGGCATGGGGCACAGGGCAAAAATTCTAAAATTTTACTTTGAACTTATTTATGATTTCCCTCCCCCTTAGGACCTAGGATTCACCGTTCTTTTTAATTTTTCAGGCTATTTTGTGTAAATACAATTTTTTATTTTTATTAACCATGTTTCGATTTTGGGAAACCAGATCATACTATATTTTCTTTAGCAATTGGGACACCTGACCATTAGTATTTCAGGAAATACAGACTGAAAGTAGTAGGCTTTCCATTACCTGTAAGGATCACAGAAATCTTTTATACTGTGGATTTTAATAGTAATCTTGGTGAAGGTTCCAGAAGTTTTACCTTAAAAAGTCAAAACGAATGATTTTTTAAAATGTAGGCATGTCTAAACAAAAATGTCAGTAAATGAAAATATACTTCAGCTATAAATGAGAGCACAAATACAGGAGTTTACGGTAAAGGGTTTATGATGGTGGTATTTTGGCCTCTTAATTCTTAGTTGTGTAGATGCTGTTTCCTCCTTTGACTTGTGTCTGAGGAAGGGTACAAAATCTCTTTCCAACTCCGTCTTTATAACACCTGATATTAATAGTACTGCTAGGGATTGGACTCTGGCCTGTCGGCACTAATATAATTACATAAAATTTCATTTGAAGCTGGGGACTATACTTTTGTCTCATCCAGTTAACATGTATACTTCAAAAGCATGAGAACTCTTCCTAAGGCTTCTCCTTAACTCTGCCACTGCCATTACACTAGAATTGTATATTATTCTCAGCTTTCATTCACTTCCCTAACTCAGAGAGTTATTCCTACCAAAAGATCTCCTGCCTGTCTGCCAGCTTAAGCCCTTGGCATCCACATCTGGGTAGATTTGGACCATGCCCCCACAATCTTAGATCCAGATGGCAAGAATAAATCTGCCTAGGGAGCTATAGTAAAGAGCTTAGATTAAATTGGAGGTTTTGAGTGTTGCTCTGGCCTTGCTTACTCTTTAATTTGTTCTTGAGGACAGGTTACAAGCTAGCCTGTATACATTGTGACTATAGCAAAGGCCTTTGCCTAGAAAAACTTAAAAAAAATTCTCTTACGTATTATGTGTGCTCAGATTTGCACTTAGTGTGGAGACTGCTTTGAGACCATTTAGATTGTTCTTAAAACCGGCTGTTTTTTACATGAAGGGAAAAAAAAGTTAACTTTCTGCCATTATTTGAGGTGCTAAGGACTACGTCGAACGCTTATCCCAGTCCAGCGTCAGGTGATGTCATTAAATTTTATTTTGGGATGTTATTTTAGATCTAATAAGCTGAGTTAAATGTTTAAGCAGATAAAACAGCAAAAACCCTGATATTGATGTAAAATTTTGAATCCTTGTATCCCTTACACTTTCCTTAATTATAAGTCAGAGGTAAGCCAGATGACTTCACTCCAAATGAAAATTAAAGCACTTTGGCCATTTGTTTTGTGAACAGATGCTAATTAGTTGAAAAAATAAGTATGACTGGTACTAGTACTAGGGTATCTATCATGTTTATGCCGTTTTATAGATTTTGTGAGAAACTTTACTACCACAATTAGGGAAATTATAGGAAGATTTAGTAAATTCTTAACCTTTCCGTTTTTAATTTCATAAAATAGCTTTAAAAACCTAACACTTAGATCTTTCACTTTTTTTACTTGGACTGTTCATTATTCTTTTTAGAATACGTTCATTAAAAGGGTGTAGCTTAAGAAATTTGAGCTCACTGACAACTCTTGATAGGTGAATATAGAGTTGTTGAGTTCATAAAGTGTTTAGTTATTTGTATATAAGTGGGGACTAACAGTATAAACTGACCTTGTTAAACTTGTTTGGTTTATTCTTAAATAGCATTTTAAGCAATTTGAAAACTTTTTGCTTAGCATATGAGAAAACTTTTATTACATACTATCTCTGACAGAGAATGTTATTTTGGGAGTTTGTAGATGGTAGAGACAGTGAGGTCACATAGAAAAACCTGACTGTCATGTTTAGTAACATGTTCATGTCCAGTAAATGAGTTCTATACTCAGTGAGTATAGACTTTATAACAAAATTTATCCTCAGTAAGGAATCTAAATAAAACTACTCAGATTCTTAGTTTTTGCCAAGGCATTAGAAAACCTGGAGAATTACAGAGGACTGAAATCTGATTTCAGCCAGCCTCATTGTTGTCTAGTCACACCCTCTAGTCCTTTGTGGGCTGCTTTTTTGTTTAGTTTTATTTCTGGAAAAGGATTTCACCTCAGTTTGTGTAAATACGTATATATCTCCTTGTGTAATATAAAACATATATATTAGCAAAATTTTAGTTCTGCTTTCAACTTTAAATTCTCCAGTTGCTAGACATCACAGAAATATATTTAAGAATTTATTATAAAGCTCCTCTACAACTTTTAAAGGTGAGGATCTATTATGATTTTTTTTATAAAATCAAATAGCATGACAGAATGTCTTCTACTTAAAACGTCTATATTCATGGTGTTTCCATTCACTGCAGAATTAACATGGCAAGGATAACAATTACTGGTGATTAATGGTTCACTTTTAGCTGACCACCACAACACTACCTAAAATCATTTGACTTTAGAAAAATATCTTGAAGGCTTATGATTCCATCAAACCGAGTCTTGACCTAGTATCTAAATACCTGCTCTTAAGTACTGCTTTACCCTTAGGGATTACCTTCTAAGGTTTGGTCACACCAGCAAACTGATACAGATCTTAATGTAAATAAAGAATTTATACTAGTATTACCCATCTGTGTAATAGCATTTTAGACATTTCTGCCTTGTATGTCCACTAGTAGCTGATCTAGTGTTAGGGTGTTACCCAGTCTTTCATGGGTGTTCTTAGTTACAAATGTTAGGCTTCTGTTGGCAATACTTAGTATCAAGCTTTCTTTGTCCAACGTAGTTAATTTGCTTATTTTGGGTTTTTAAAGCTAGCAGACCTTAGTTCTGTAGTATTGTGCTTACCTTTAACCTTTTTCCCTCACCTTCCAAAACATAGTCATTCACACATTCCCCATTTCTATTAGTGGCAAATCAATCATTAAGATCTAATTTTAAGAAAAGTTCAGCTTCTGTTATCCTGGAGTAATTATATCATACTGGATAGTCATTCCCAAGGAGCTAGGCTTTCTTTTCCTAAGTGTGTATGTGTTCTAAAACTTCTATGTTTACAGTACTTAGAAGAGATGTTATGTTATTTAGAATAGCAAGTCTTACTGAGGTACTCATGTTTGTTTTCTTGGTAGTTTTTTGTTTTGTTTTGTTTTTTAATTTTAATAGTAGTATGTTTTGTGATTGTTTCCTGGCCTGTGTTTTGATAACTGAATCTGTTTAGACATTAAATGATTTTGTTAAAGGCACAATTAATCACATTGGTTGTACTTTCAAGACAGAATTTAAAAAATAAACAACTCAAAACCATTAATGTGATTATAGATTAATGTGATTTTACATCTTAAAAGCTCAAAGCTACAAACATAATTCATATCACAAAAGCACTTTGACTAAGTTACAAACCTGAAACATGATTTTTTCTATTATTCAAGCTAACTGCAAACAAATTTCTCATAAAGAGCATCTGCAGTGTTTTAAAAACTATTTTACCTAGAATTACTTAAATTTTTAACCATTGTAAAAATATGAAAGTATAATAATTTTGGTGTATTTTTTCCCCATAAAGTTTGAGTAGAAAATACTGTTCCAAGTAAGTATAACTATACAAGATTGAGAAGAAAAAATGTTTAAAATACAAAAAAAGATTTTTCTGAACTCTATTTAGTGTGCCTTCTCTCCTGTACTTTAAATACTTTATAAACAATGGTTACCATGGGTTAATGCTACATTTCTTAGGGTTAATGAAAAAAATGAAGAAATTTCAGGTAAGGTCTCAGAAATGACAGTTTCCTAGCCTAGGCTCTAATTTTAAGTGTGCAGTAACTTTTGTGTTAAATATCGTGTTTTCAACTATACTGATTTTTACAGTAACAAAAGAACTACATTGCTGAGTATCCACTTCTTAACCCAGGTATAGACTAAGATACTTATGTAATTGCTTTTAAAAATAAATTTTTAAATCTTTTTTTTAAATTTATTATGAGAGAGAGAGGGAGGCAGATAGGCAGGCAGAGAGAGAGACACACAGGATCCCAGGCAGACTCCACACTGTCAGCACAGAGCCTGATGAAGTGGGCTTAAACTCACTGTGAGATCATGACCTGAGCTGAAACCAAGAGTCTGACACTTAACCGACTAAGTGACCCCATGCTCCCTTAAAACTGCTTTTTAAAAAATTATTCGGATGTATGAACATCTAAATCCCAAACAGACAAAAAAATAAGAAACAATTTGTAAACCTGGTCTCTTTTAATGTTTTCTACAATAGAATAAATAGTTCTCTTGATGGCTGCAGACATGTAAGGCTGTTTGGCGGTATTCGGAAACCACCAGAGTAATGGTGTCTTCCTAACTGGTGAGTAGTCTTCGGTAACTGTAAGGAGTTACTTGTCTGAAACTGCTGTCAAACCAGCAAGACCGCATTTATGCACCCATCGTTTTCAGGATTGTTGGTAACCTGGGCATATTTTCCTAGAAGAAAACAACATGGGGGAAAAGGAGAGATTTAGTTTATAAAAATTAACTTTGCCCAAAATATTTCTAATGGCCACTTTTAAGAAAGAAAATAAATGATAGTAGGATCAATGAGATTTTACAAAGTCACTCAAACAAGTTATAGAGACAGTTTTTATATACTATTTTTACACATGGTGGTCAGCTCCGTTTTGTTAGTACATTGTATTAACAAGCCTTGTGATGGGCCTGAGCATTGTTGCTTTTCCACATACTTTTCTTACTAGAAAATGCAGTAACTTTTCATTAAGTTTCAAATTAATCTGTTTTAAAACTGATGTCAGCCAATATGAAGTATGAGTTAATGACTCATCTCAAAACTCAGTCAAGAAGCTAGAGTGTATTCTTCCATTTTGAAGAACATTAAAGCTTAAATACCTGGGCACTAAAAGCAGAAAACTAAGAAAATGAGGCATGACACCTTTCTGTTTTTAATTATTATTGAAATAGTGTGGCTATGTGTTTGATGTATGTCTCCCTTCCCTCGCTCCTGGTCAATTTATTGTATTTTCTTTCAATATTTTACTTAGAATTGTAACTTTCCATCTGCTTCCTTAATAATTTCTTAAAACAGCCCTGAATCTAAAAATTTAGTACACTTTATATAACTGATAGTGATAATCCAAACTAAAAAGAATCCCATTCAGAACTACTTTGTCTACAAAAGTATTCTTCATAAAGGTTTCGGTCTGATTCACATCATTTTAACTTACCCAGCTCTTCTGCATTAAAATTTGCTATATATTTTCTACCAACCTGACCATTTCGATTTTAGGGTTGTAATAGCAGCCCCATAGTGATAAGTTTACTTACCCCAAATAACCTTGCCTCCTTGTGTCACAAGGCCCAACTCACTCACGTTCACCTCAATGACAGTACCTTTGGTAATAACACCCAAAGATGTATATAGTGGGGACGAGGGATTCTTTTTTACACCAAGTATTGGCAGGCAAAAGGTGGCTTTCAATTCAGGATGTGTTACGTGGGCCTTTTTGAAACGTAAGCCCTAGTAAGTCAAACAGAAAAACATTAAGAGTCTAAAATGTTAACAATGATGAGCAATCATCTGTTTTGCTTTTCCAGCGGTCTTCCTGAATGAAAGGCCCCATGGATTCAAAATGTCAAATCTTAAGGCATCAAATTAAATATTTATAAATTCTAAGACTACAAACCTGATAAATACATGGGAGGAAAAACACGTGCTCCTGAAGTTTGTGCCATGGAGCTTTACCTAGCATCGTACTCCCATTTTCCTCTGTAGTTTTCTACACTTACTGAGGACTTGTTACATTCCAGGCACTATGCTGAAGTGTACAAATAGCTCATTTAAGCATTATAATGTTACAACTCCCCCCATTTTTTAATTAAATAAGGATTGGCAGGTGAAATGACTTGTTCCTAAGTTAAATGGCATGTTGACAGAATTAAACTTGAGTATCCTAATTCGAAGTCTGTATATAACTTAAACTGTTTCACATGATGAAAAAGGGGGTTGGACTGTCAGCTTTTCGTTGATGGTAATACTGGTCTAAGACTGGAGAACCCCAGACATCGTCACTTGGTCACCTAGATATGGCCTTTTGGGGTGAAGTGTTAGAGAAGCCACAATACTCTGTAGTCTTTTAAATTTGCTTTTTGCACGTATGGGGGTAAGAGGTAATGATACTACATCAAGTTCTTATTAATGGACTCATTAATGAAGCTTGTAATACACTCACGTTGAGAATGCCCTTTGACTAATGCACAAGAGACTTATCTGTCAAGCTACAGAAAGCCTAGAACAACATGACTAGTATATTCTCTCCCTACAGAAATGATCAAGTTATTAAAAGATTATGAATATGAAATCAAAACGAGGCATCCATGATACAATCGAGGGACAGGTGACGGTTTTCTGTAAAGAGATAGTGAACGTTTTAGGTTTTGCAGGCCATACGGTCTCTCCTGCAATGACTCTGAGTCTGCAGGAAAACACAGCCATAGACAGTAAGTAAATGAAAGGGCACAGCTGTGTTCCAACAGAACTTTATATACAGAAGCAGACTGACCGCATTTTAACCCATTAAAAATTATTCAGGGTGAGAAATAGGGGAACACTGCCAACCTTCTTCTGATTGTTTTTCTAAGCAGGTTAGATATCCAGTGAGGAGAATAATTGAGTGTGTTTAAAGGGATTTTGTGAAAATATACAAGTGATCCCTAAAAACAGGTTTGAACTGCATAGGTCCACTTACATAAAGATTTTTTTTCAAGATTTATTTCTCGTAATGATTTTCTTACCTTTTTGTCTCTAGGTTTTGTTGTTTTTCAAATAGGCTTTTCGCCTAGCACAGAGCCCAATATGGGGCTTGAACTCATGACCCCTGAGATCAAGACCTGAAGTGTGATCAAGAGTCAGATGCATAACTGACTGAGCCACCCAGGTGCCCCTTTTTCTCCAGCTTTAAGAATACGATATATGATACAATTAACATACAAAATATGTGTTAATTGACAGTTTACGCCATCATTAAGGCTTCCAGGCAACAGTAGACTATGTAATTTAGTTTCTGGGGAGTCCAAAGTTTATGTGGATTTTCGGCTGTGCAGGTGGTGGGCACCCCTAACCTGAGTTGTTCAAGGGTCAACCATATGTTCAGTTACATCTGGGAAAGGGGATGAGACTGGTTTTGACCACTGGTGTTGTCAACTGAAATTACAGTTCCACTTTCATATTGAATTCTTTTTTCAAAGATTACATAAAGCATTAAAGATAATTTCCTTAAGAAGTAGAAATTGCTTCTTGAAAAAAACATTCCTACTCAACTTTCCTAACTTCTCAAAGATGCTAAGAGTCAGGTATAGAGAGTACTTGAATGAGTAAAATGACTTCATGTGGAAAATGAAGATTCTAATATGCCATATATTTAAAAATCAGGATCTACTGACACTGTTTATAATAAAAACTACTGATCATTTCCTGTTTCTCATGAAGCTGAAGACCGGATTCTTGATAGTAGAGGAAAAAAACCTCTAAGCCATCCCTCTCAATAACTTAAAAATACCAAAAAATAGCCTAAAGAATGTCTTTCAGTCTCTTCATATCAACTTTAGGGATTTCAGAAATTCTACAACACTGCAACCAATATTTAATCCATCCCACTCTTGCAAGGGACTTACCATTGGCCTAATGAATCTTTCATATTTAGGTGGTTTTCGAGTAAAGCCATCTCCAACAAAGCAGACTTTAGTAACCATTCTCTTCCATGCTTTCTTCTTTCTCTTTCCTGTTCGAATAACTTTTAATACTTCTGTTTCTCCCTGGGCACGAACTTTGGGCAAAGGGACTTCCCATTTTCCCTAAAAACAGATCATCATTAAAATTTATGCTAGTATAAGGCAATGAGAATAAAAAATTAAATAGTTGTTCAAAGCAGTGGATTAATTTTTTTTCCTAAACCAACAAGATTTTGGTTCAGCTGTTTCTAGAGGTCTGTACTGTCTCCTCACAAGCCCCATATTAATTGGAACTAAGTTTCATATTTTATGAACACATTAAAATAGTCTGCTTAAACTAAAAGTCTGAATGCCTCGTTATGGATGAAAAATGCCACCTGTAATAAATCAATGACTTCTCAAAACAGTTTATGTGCTTACTACTAAATAGTTAATAGTATAAAACTGGAAGACTGTCTCCACCTCTTACTCTAGCTCGGTGTTTTTACCTCAAGTGGACTTGTAGATTACATTGCTAGTAAGTCAAAATCATCACCACATACATTGAACCTCCCTAGAATGCAAATTATTTGAAAAAAACTGATGCACTGAAAGGCAGTATAAAGAATCTGACTTAGGGGACACCTGGGTGGCTCCATAGGTTAAATGTCTGACTCCTGGTTTTGGCTCAGGTCATGATCTCACAGTTTGAGAGATCAAGCCCCACATCAGGCTCTGTGCTGACAGTGAGGAGCCATGCTTGGAATTCTCTGTTCCCCTCTCCTGTTGTCTGTCAAAATAAATAAATAAACATTAAAAAAATAAGTAATATTTTTAAAAAGATTTGACTTACAACACCAAAAAAACCCAGTAGTGTGGTTTTTAAAATCAAATTTGGAGACTGAAAATTCTTTAAATATAGATACCACATACTCTGTTGCTACCTAGATTTCTGTCAATTTATCCACAGGTGTTTAAAAACAGCACTGATACCTTCCCCCCCCCCCTTTTTTTTTTAGCAGAATTTAACCTAATTTGACACAAGTGCAATCCAGTAATATTTTTTAAAATGCTGAATTTTTATTTAAGTCAAATCAGCTTCAGGGTTTTCCACTATTCTATCTTTGAACAAATTTTAGCACAGCAGGGCAGCCAAAACAACAGTTGTATCTTTCTCCACAAGAGCATAACACTAGGAGGTGTCAAATATAGGAAGCTGTTAAAATACTGAATTTGAGATGTACTAACTTTTTAAGCACGTTTTTTACCCTAAGGATGTGTGGCATTCTAATAAATTTTTAAAAAGCTGTTAAAGGCTAACATGTTCTGGTGATGAGAAAGTATTTTACTATTTAATACAAACTGAAATTTACAAAGACTTTGATATCTAAATAATGGGAATAGTAGCTGGACTTCATGTTTCCAATTAAACTGAAGGAAAAAAACCCAAGATTAAAAATAAGTAATCCTCTCCTGAACAAAAAAAGAAATACTTCAATTTTTATTACTTACTGCTTTCTCTTTTCGTTTTTGTTTAATCATATTGGAAAGTACTTTAGCTCGGGACTGTCCCTCCCTGTCCAGGAGATATGCAGGTACTGCTCCTTGTGGAGTCTTTTCATCATTCTTTTGCTTCGTGTTTCTCTTTTCATGCATCTTGATACTATCAAGAAGGAAGAAGATTCAAGACTGTCAGTTTTTAAAACTATCACTAAAAAGATGTTAACTCATTACAACAAAGAAATAATCACTTACGTCTTTTTCATTTGTATTTTCTCAGCATGGCGCTGTTTATGGTAGAGCTTAGCTTTCAGACCGATCATCTTTTTTGCTTTCTTTGAACGTTCATGAGCCTCTCGGCCTTCCTTCTTTCTCTTTTTCTCGTGGTAATCCAAACGATAGCCATAGCGCTTCCGGTGTAACTCAATATATTCGTTTTGTGGCTATAACAATGCAAGAAACATTAGTTTTAAAAATTGACAAAATTATGTTAAAAAACGCTATGACCACCATATGAAGTATAGAAGGCCTTATGTCATCCAGGTGTTCACTTCCTTAAAAAACTCTTGTGCTGTTAAGCCTAGTGACATGAGTTAAAAATTTTTTTTTGATCCTGGATGTTATCAAGCATCAGGATTCACATCTGTAATAATCTCAGGGAAAGTTCCTGTTGGAGACAACTGTCCAAAATCCACTGGACCACAAAAAAGATGACCTGATTCCAGGATCTCTTTTTTTCTGAACATCAGTAATCTGGTTTTTCAATTATATCATCCGTAGTTTTTATTTAGAAAGTTTGTAAGTTTCATAGCTAAAACATGGAAAGAGCCTAAGTGTCCATCAACAGATGAATGGATCAAGAAGATGTGGTTTATCTATACCATGGAATACTACATGGCAATGAGAAAGAATGAAATCTGGCCATGTGTAGCAACATGGATGGACCTTGAGGGTGTTATGCTGAGCGAAATAAGTCAGGCAGAGAAGGACAAATACCATATGTTTGCACGTATAGGAGGATTAGGAGGAACTTGACGGAGGACCAAGGGGGAGAAGAAGGGCGGAAATGGTGGGGGAAAGGGAGAGAGGCAAACCATGAGAGACTCTTG